AATTAAAGACCTAGAAATAAACCCATACACCTATGGTCAATTGCTCAGATTATCAGATATAAGCATGTAAAGTGGTCAAAATAAAAATCTGAAGCATGAACTGCTACCTTCAAAAAACTGAAACAAATTAGTATGATCATCTTAGCTATCCTGTGTATATACATACATGTTTTTTCCACTTCCTTTTTCTTTCCTCTCTTTTCTCCTTTCCCTCACTGCAAGTGTTCATTTCTTTGGAGCAGTTTCTTTCCCTTTTACTATACCCATTGTGCTTTTCAGATTTTACGTGCTCTTTCAGGTTCTTACACTAGGGAGACAATATGATGCTTAAAAATATGGGTTTGATTTTTTTTCACTTATGAGTATAGCCTCCAGTTCCATTCATTTGCCTATGAAAGTCTCCCATTTATCTTATTTTATAGCTAACTAATACCCCATTGTATAAAAATACTACATCTTTTTAAAATCTATTCCTCATATGATGAGTAATTGGGTTGTTTCCAAGACTTAGCTATGACAAATTGTGCTGCTACACTTGGGTGAATGTATATTGCTGTGATACGATGTTTTCAAGTCTTCTGGAAAACTACTCAGAAAAGGCATAGCTGGGTTGAGGTGTGTGCGTGTGTGTGTGTGTGTGTGTGTGTGTGTGAGAGAGAGAGAGAGAGAGAGAGAGAGAGAGAGAGAGAGAGAGAGAGAGAGAGAGAGAAAGATTGGGGATTCAAATTGGGACCTTGCACTTTGCCAAGCAGACACTCATGCCACTGAGCTATCTTCCTGGCCCTGAATGAGACTTCTAATTATAGTTTTTTTATTTTTGGGAATCTCCACACTGATTTCCACAGTGGTTGCACCACTCTACACTCCCACCAACAGTAGAGAAGGGCTCGCTTCCCACCAACAGTAGAGAAGGGCTCCCTTTCCCCCATAGCTCCTTGAGCATTAATTGTTGATTTCTTGATGATAGAAATTTGTTCTGGGGTAAGATAGAATCTCAATATGTTTTAATTTGCATTTCTTGAATGACCAGTACTGTGAAGGCTTTTTTCCTATATTTATTTGCCATTTGTATTTCTTTGTCTGAGAAGTATGTATTCATCTCAGATGCCCATTGTTGGATTGGGTATTTGAATTTTGGGAACTTGATTTTTAAAAATTCTGTATATATTCTAGATAGAATTCCTTTGTCTGAGTGAATGTTAGTTAAGATTTGTTTTTCCATTTCATGAGTTTTCTTTTCACTTTGTTGGTGAATTCTCTCAATGTGCAAAAACTTCAATAAGATGAGATCCCATTTGTTGATTCTTTGAAGTATGTCCTGTGCACTTCAGTTTTTTGTTCATGAACTCTGCCTACCGCTGTCTTCAAGAAATCTACCTACTTTCTCTTCTAGTAGATTTAGTATTTGATTTTAATATTTAAATTTTTGATACATTTTGACTGTAGTTTACTGTATGGTGATAGGCATGGGACTAATTTTAGCCTTCAGCATGTGGAAAACCAGTTTTTCCAGTACTATTTGTTAAAGAGTTTATCTTTCTTCCAGTGAACATGTTTAGCCCCTTTGTCAAAGATAAGGTGGGTGAGTGTGTTTGTAGTTGTGTCTGTATTTTCTAATCTGTTCCACTCATACTCAAGTCTGGGTTTTTGCAAGTACCATGCTGTTTTTATCACAGTACCTTTGTAGTATAATTTCCAGTCAGGGATTTTGATACCTCCTGCCTTGCCTTTGTTGCTCAGGATTGCATTTGTTATTCTAGGTCTCTTCTGGTTCAAATTGAATTTTATGAATGTTTTTTCTAGATTTGTGAGGTATGCTCATGGAATTTTGATTGGGATTCCATTAAATCTGTATAACAACTTTAGGAGTATGGCCATTTTCTCAGTGTTGCTTCTTCTTATCCATGAACAAGAAATATCTTTCCATTTTTGATAATCCTTTTCACTCTATTTTTTCAGAGTATCATAAAATTTTCATTCTGTAGATCTTTTCCTTCCTTTGTTAATTCCTAAATATTTCATTTTTTTCAATGCCATTGTGAAGGTGTTGTTCCCATAATATCTATCTCAATAAGTTTGTTATTTGTGTACAGCAGTGCTACTGATTTGGGGGTATTCAATTTGTATTCTGTTACGCTATCAAATTTGTTGTTAATTCTAGGAGTCTCTAGGTGGAGTTTTTTGGGTCTTCAATATAGAGTATCATGTCACCTGCAAATAATAATTTAACTTCTTCCTTTCCAGTTGTTATTCTTTTTATTTCTCTCTTATCTAATTTCCCTGGATAATGATTCCAGAACTATAATGAATGGGAGTGGTGACATCCTTGTCTTGTACCTGATTTTGAAGTGAAATAGTTCAAGTTTTTTTTTTTTTTTTCCAATTAGAATCATGTTGGCTGTTGGTTTGTCATAGATGGCTTTTATCAGATTGAGCTAAAGATCATCTATTCCTATTTTCTGTAGGATTTTTATCATGAATGAGTATTAGACTTTGTCAAATCTTTCTCGGCATCTATTGAGATCATCATGTGGTTTTTGTTTTAGGCTCTGTTGCTATGATGTATTACATTTATACATTTGCTTTTGTTGAAACATCCCTGCATCCCTGGGATCAGTCCCACTTGGTCATGGTGTATAATCTTGATGATTTGTTGCATTCTATTTGCTAGCATTTTATTGAGTATGTTTATATCTATGTTCATTAAGGAAACTGGCCTATAGTTCTCTTTTGTGGTTGGGTCTTTCTCTGGTTTTGGTGTCAGTATAATACCTACCTACAGAAATGAGTTAGAATTGCTTTCTTTTTAATTTCATTGAAGAGGTTGAGAAGTATTGGCATGAAATCTTTTTTTCTCATTCTTTTTTTTTCTTTTTTCTTTTTTCCCATAATTTTATTGATAAACAAATAGCAATGAGATAGTTTCGAATCAAATTGGTAGGACAGTTTCTTTTTTTTTTTAATATTTATTTATTTTTATTTATTACATTTATTTATTGTGTGTGTGTGTGGCCAGCTCAGCCCACCAGGGGGCGGGGCTGGCTGGCATGTGGTGCTGGGGATCGAACCGTGGTCCCTGTGCTTCGCCAAGCTTGATTCAAGTAGGTGCTTTAGACCACTGAGCCATCTCTCCAGCCCCCGGTAGGACAGTTTCAATAATTAACACATTGCATGCATTCTTCCTAGTGGTTAATTGCTGTACAAGATGCAGACATGATATCCTATTTACAAACACCATTAGAACAAATCCCATTATTCATTAAGAGAATGCAACTATATATCTATCCTAACCACTTTGAATACACAGATACAAAATGGACATACATCTGTATACCCTTTTTTCGTTAAGTTCCGTTATTTGAATATTATAGGTGTGTAAACTCTGTAAAATATTCTAAAAGAGTCCAGTAGCCCATAATAGTATTGGGTCTTCTGCTTGACTGACAATGTCAGAAATTGTTGACCTGAGTCCCCTACAGCTCAGCATAACAGCATGGCTTTACTTCTTATATTTCGTTTTTATACTTTTCTACTGGATGGTTAAGACCAAGGCAAAGCAGGACCTATGCAACAAGAGTTGTAGCTTTTGGGTCTGATAAGGTCAGTGAAATCCCCTCAGGATTTATCCTGAGATCCTGTACCTCAGATAGCAGAACCTTTGTCAGTGTCAGCCATGTGGATGAGTCATGGCCATTGCTTGGCCAATGTGCTCTCTGTGAAAGCCTGAGAGAATGTTTTCTGTCCATGTGACTCTCCTTAGGCACACTCTACATCATCCATCATTCCTCTTTGGCCCCATAATTGGAGTAATATTTTTGATATATTAGGTTAAATAAAACATTTTAAAAAGAAGTCATATTCTCTGAGAATTAGTTTCATTTGGGCTGTAGCTGTACTATCCATGTGGAAGCATAATAATCACAAGCACGTGTTTGTTCGCGAGTTATCCCTGGACAACAGCTGGGAAGAAAACAGCCCAGGGGCCAACTGGGCAGTGGAGATGAGTTTGAGGGCAAACTGAAGCTCTTCTCCTGCTGCCTCGCTCGCGCCCTCTGCTGGACACTTCGCTACCCAGCGCCAGCTCCCAGTCCAAACTGCCTTTCCCCCAGGCAAGGGTTTAAGGAAAAGAATGTACACGAAGGGGTGGGGAATTCATTCTTTCAGTTTCAGAAATATACTTACAGACGCATTTTTTCTCATTAAGTAAATCCTGAAGTGGGGGAAGAGAAAAGGAAAGCATTATCAATCCAAAACAAACCTAACATTCTTAGTTTAGGGAAGTGATCTTTGGTTACAGCAGGGTGATGAAAAAGCTGAGTTCAGGACAGAGCTGTCGAGGGAAAAAAGGAGCCGGAGTTTTGTCGTCTTCATATCCACACCGCGACCCGGCACTGTGAGAGACTGGGCTGAGCACTAGCTCCGGGCCAGGCAGCTAAAATTCCTTTAGCAGTATCGGCTCAGCTTTTGGTTTGCTATTTTTGTTGTTTTAAAAGACAAGGGCAGAGTCATGAGAATGACTTCCTGGAGGTCGCTGACAGAGCCAGCCCAAAGGAAGTGCCTTGAACCTCATCCAAGAAGGAAGAATAGTTCTCTGATTAGAGTAAAAAAAAAAAAAATTAAGAAAAAAAAAAGGAAAAAAAGAAAGAAGCAATTCTACATTCCTACCTCTGGCGGAACAGACACTTGAGTTAGTATTTTGAATTCAACTAATAATAATCTACGAATTATTAACAGCACCTCTTAAGTTCATTGGTGTGAACAATAATGAATCAAGTGCAGTGGAGGACAGAAATTTTTCTACTTGAGCACAGGTCAATCAGCCCGCAGACCTTATCCCATGTTTCAATGGGAGAAAGTAAGTTTACACTTACTATGAAGTGTAATTCCAGTGAGGTTCAGTAGGTGGCAGACAGGAGCTACTTGCAACCCTAAAAGAGGTTTCAGAGAAATACATGTTCAAGGAAATGCTTGAGTTTCTTCCAGACTGTCAAACAGAAGAGACAAACAGAATGTCTTCTTGGTAAGCCACATCTTATCTTATTCTATAAAAGCAAATAGTGGTATAACTAGTGGGATTTTTTTCTGTTTTCTTTTCTTTCCTTCTTTTTTTTTTTTTGGCTGGCTCAGCATGCGTTCAGGGCAGGTCTGGTAAGGTATGAGGATCTGGGGATCGAACCACAGTGTGCTGAGCCTGACTGCTTTGCTTAAGCAGGCACTTCAACAACTGAGCTAATGGGCAGGCCCCCTCTGGTACAACTAGTAATGGAGACAAGATCACAGATGTCTCTATGACCAAGTCCTGGGTACTTTTCTAAGCATGTTGTATTTCTGACATGCACTTACTGTGTGAGTGGAGTGAGCTAGAATTTATCAGTCTTAGAGACTTAAGTTTTCCTCATTTGAATGGCTGAAAACTCTGCATGATTTGCTATCCAAAGGTATTTTTAAATAGAATTGATTGGTACAGTTTAGATCTACATAATGATCATATTCATCGTAGGGAAGTTGTACTGATATATGATATATTTTGATGCCTCCTTTCCCCAATTCCCTCTGCTCCATTCAACTGCTCTTCCTGTCCTTATTTATAAAGTTTGGTTTTCATTTTATCATTCTCTTATTGCTTTCTTTCCTTTCCTTTCCTCCTGCTCCCTCCCTAGTTCCTCTCCTAAACAATTTCTTATTTCACAATAGCTCCTTATTTATACTGTCATTATACTCTGTACACCAGAGAAATGATGTGATATTTACACATTGTGTCCAATTTGTTTCACTTAAGGATATGGTCTTACAGTGCATCAGTTTACCTAGAAAATGTCTAAAACCAGCCTTCTTTATGGCTAATACTCCACTGTATATAAAAAAAAACACACACATTAAAAAAAACCTATTTCTAATTTGATGGATATTTGGTTTGTTTCCAAGATTTAGCGATTGCAAACTCTACTGCTATAAACGTGGGTGTGAATATATTATTGCAAGAGATATTGTTGAGCAGGGAAATGCAAATTTAAGGCACAGACTTAAAAACAGCTTGTTTAGGGACCAGCGAGATAGCCCAACAGGCTAAGCACCTGCTTAGGCAAGCGCAGGGACCAGGGTTCGATCCCTGGCACCACATGCTGTGCTGGCCCCGCCCCTGGGCACATTGAGCTGGCCACCGAGGCCAGGTGTGGTGGCACATGCCTGTAATACCAGTGCTGGGGAGGCTGAAAACAGGAGGGTTACTATAAGTCTGAGCTGCATAGTGAGAACCTGTACCAAATACATTAAAAACAAACAAACAAACAAACAAACAAACAAAAAACCCAGCTTGTTCATTGTTGATTTTAAATGACGTTACTCTTCACCTCATCCACTCTACATCCACATTCTTTGCAATGAAAATGTGACAGGCACTTGTTTGGATATAGTTTGCTCATCTTTCCAGTGTTCATATATTGGGATGTTCTCTCTATTTTGATGTAATAAGAAGGTGGCGATCAGTCTGACTATGGTGTTTGGAGGTGGAACCCTCAGGAAATGATGAGTTCTGTATGTACGAGTTTGGGAGGGTGGATCCCCATGACTGAATTCAAGAGGTTTTTTTATTTTTTAATTTTTAAATTTATTTTTATTTATTTATTTTTTATTTTTATTTTTTCAAATCAAATTGGTAGGACAGTTTCAATAATTAACACATTGCATACATTCTTCCTAGTGGTTAATTGCTGTACAAGATGCGGACATGATATTCTATTTACAAACACCATTAGAACAAATCCCTCTATTCATTAAGAGAATGTAACTATATATCTATCCTAACCACTTTGAATACACAGATACAAAATGGAAATTCATCTGTATCCCCTTTTTTTTGGTCAAGTTCCATTATTTGAATATTATACGTGTATAAACTCAGCAAAATATTCTAAAAGAGTCCAGTAGCCCATAATAGTATTGGGTCTTCTGCTTGACTGGCAATGTCAGAAATTGTTGACCTGAGTCCCCTACAGCTCAACATAACAGCATGGCTTTACTTCTTATACTTCAGTTTTATACTTTTCTACTGGATGGTTAAGACCAAGGTAAAGCAGGACCTATGCAATAAGAGTTGTAACTTTTGGGTCTGATAAGGTCAGTGAAATCCCCTCAGGATTTATCCTGAGATCCTATACCTCAGATTGTAGATCCTTTGTCAGTGTCAGCCATGTGGATGAGTCATGGCCATTGCTTGCCAGTGTGCTCTCTGTGAAAGCCTGAGGGAATGTTTTCTGTCCATGTGACTCTCCTTAGGCACACTCTACATCATCGATCACTTTCCTCTTTGGCCCCATAATCTCCTTGATCAGAAAATTTGGGATACTACCTAGTTACATGATGTTACAGTACAAGTTCTCATATGTCCTGAGTCTTAATTGACCTTGGAAGGCTAGGGCCAAAATATTGGCTTTCCTTGTGGCCCTCCTTTTTCTCTAATTTGGTTTGCAAACTTAGGTTGTTAACCATCCAGAAGACAAGCTTATTGTTATTACCATACAACTTAGGTTGTTAAGCTTACCCTCACTATCTGTCTGAATATGAAACATCTTAGGCATAACATGGAACAGGTATTTTTCATCAAGTATTGATATGTTGAACTTTAAGTCCCTTCAGAATATGATAAAAAAATTTTAAAATTAGAATATATTTTTAAAATAGGCATAAAGAATTATATATTTCTTGACTCCTGCCAGACTGGCAACTCACAGCGGAGCAGGACAGGCCCAGTCCCCAGCAGTGGCCTCCAGTGTCTCTTCCTCTCCCTGGGAAAGGTGGTACAGAAGTGACCAAAATGGCCTGGTGGAAAGCTTGGGTTGAACAAGAGGGCGTCACAGTGAAGGGCAGCTCCCACTTCAACCCAGACCCAGACGCCGAGACCCTCTACAAAGCCATGAAGGGAATTGGAACCAACGAGCAGGCCATCATCGACGTGCTCACCAAGAGGAGCAACGCCCAGCGGCAGCAGATTGCCAAGTCCTTCAAGGCTCAGTTCGGCAAGGATCTCATCGAATCATTGAAGTCAGAGCTGAGTGGCAAGTTTGAGAGACTCATCATGGCCCTCATGTACCCGCCCTACAGGTACGAGGCCAAGGAGCTGTACGATGCCATGAAGGGATTAGGGACTAAAGAAGGGGTCATCATTGAGATCCTGGCCTCTCGGACCAAATGCCAGCTGCAAGAAATAATGAAGGCCTACAAGGAGGACTACGAGTCCAGCCTAGAGGAAGACATCAAAGCAGACACGAGCGGCTACCTAGAGTGGATCCTCGTCTGCCTGCTGCAGGGCAGCAGGGATGATGTGAGGGGCTATGTGGACGCAGGACTGGCCCTGCAAGAAGCACAGGATCTGTATGCAGCAGGTGAGAAGATCAGCGGGACCGATGAGATGAAATTCATCACCATCCTGTGCACACGCAGTGCCCCTCATCTCATGAGAGTGTTCGAAGAATATGAGAAAATCACCAACAAGAGCTTTTAGGAGAGCATCAAGAGTGAGACCCACGGCTCGCTGGAGGAGGCCATGCTCACCGTGGTGAAGTGCACCCAGAACCTGCACAGCTACTTTGCAGAGAGACTGTACTGTGCCATGAAGGGAGCAGGGACATCTGATGGGACACTCATAAGGATCATCGTCTCAAGGTGTGAGGTTGACTTAAATCTTATCAAGAATCAGTTCACTAAGATGTATGGCAAGACCCTCAGCAGCATGATCATGGATGACACCAGCAGTGACTACAAGAATGCCCTGCTGAACCTGGTGGGCAGTGACCCATGAAGTCAATGAAGAATGAGAGCCAAGGCCAAGAAGCAGGGGCCTTTGGCCCTGCCTCATGACCTTGGCCTTGGGTAGAACCTGGGGGATCTCAGCTGGCTT